ACAGACGTGGTCTGGCCTGTTTACTGGGAATTGGGTGAAGGGGGCATCTTCAAATAAGTTTCCTTCGATTGTTTGTAAACTGTTGATGCAGTCTGGCCAAAGTCCCCTGAACAGTGTTGTGATGCACATTTGATCATATCAACATGTTAATTTGCGCAATATAAATATTAAATTATTATTATTATATTATCTTTGTTAAACGAAAAACTTTTTAGCTTTTACAGTACATTATCCACTACAAACATACAAACATTGACAGTCCATGCTAAGGACACCATGTTGATTTCAAAAGTTATTGTCACCAGTCCCCCCTCCTCTAAAGTCAAAGTAAAAATGTGCAAACTGTTTCACTTTCTATTAAAAAAGTACTAAAGACCTATTTACAAAATTAATTTATGAATGCTGTAATATAATTATTACACACTGAATATTGCTTTTCTTTGCATTTTGGATGATATTGATGAACTCTGATAAACAATTATATCCACATCTCGGCCCTATAGTGGCCATGTTACCAGACGAGTCACGCAAATTTTAACTTGCTACTTGGTCAAGACTCGTAGAAATTTAGCCCTTTCCTATATTCATTTAAGTTATATACATCTAGATTTCTTTAGTTGTTTTGATCTTAAGCTTAAATGATTACTTATCGAATGGCTAGTGTATAATCTTTGAATTATTTTGAAACTTTCGTGAAATCATTTGTTTAAATCACGGTCGCTATGATGCTTATCAATCGATACTGACCTCTCCATTGCTTAAGGAATTGTTATAAGAATAATTTGAAAGGTTACTAATAGACTTTACAATCTTTAAAAAGATTACAGATCAAACTTAGCTTTCTACAAGATCACTAGTTTCTACCTACACTGACACGTTCAAATTGTCAAATCACAACACTTGCATGTGCTGACAATCGATGTGAAGCACTCCCTGAACATCAAGGTATTAAAGTTGCACTGTTTTTGCTGTACATATTATTGGTATGCCTAATTATCATTATATAATGAAGATCTAAGAAGCAAGTTTTCAAAAGCTTATTTGAAACTCTTAGAGATCAATGAAACATTAAGTTTGAAGATGATCAAGCGGGTGATTGGTGACAATTACTTTTAAATCAACATGGCGTCCTTAGTGTGGGTTGTCGATGTTTATATGTTTGTAGTGGATGATGTCCTGTCAAAACTAAAAACTTTTTTGTTTAACAAAGGAAAAGTAATAGATTGAAGTAATCATTCAAATATAGAGTTCTTTCCATTTTCAAAGAGAGAAAGATTTGTTCCCTTCTTCAAGTAAGAATAGTGATTGTGTTCACAAGCATTTTGATCTAGTTGAAGTTAAAGTGCACATGACTCAAAATTTTCCTCCCCCATTTTTATTTCTTATTATTAAAATTTAGGTATTACTTGATCGAATTCTGGTATTAGAACCTTCATGGAAGCGCTTTAGTAGTTTTCCTGCCGGCTCCAAGTTGAGCATTTTTCCCAAAAATATGTGACAATTCCTGCGCGGCCAAAATTCCTCTGTGACATCATCAGTTGTGTAGATTGCGCCCGGGAACATGGCGGATAAGTGAACTCAGAGAGTCTCCAGGAAATCTTGTGTAGCTGGTGGCCCTGGGTTAGTCAGCTGCATGAATTCAAGTCAAACCCCGGGCATATTAATGCATCTTTTTCCTTCTAATAAAATTTTAAGAAGGAAATGGATGAAATTCATCCTCAGTGTTGTGTTCTGTGCATTTTGAGCCGAACAGCTTTTGTCGAAAGATCAGCATTAGAGATCAGCCGAGCGTTCGAAGGCTTGAGAAGGGAGCATTCCCAACGATTGATGTCGCAGTCAGGCAAGACAATAGCCCAGAAGGGACAGATCGAGGATGGAGGAGGGTAAGTTACATTCGAATAATTTATAATTAATCTCAATCCACACGTCTACTGATCCTGTTTACTTTGATGAATTCGATCTTGATATTACCACTCTTATTTAATAATCTGTACACAAATTTATCATTTTTTTCAGGTGGTCAGAGAGGTCTTAAAAAACACAGTTGTTCTCCTTCACTGCCTGTGAAACTCGTAGTGATCATTACTTGTTGGAAATATTTGCTCTGATTTTATTTGCTTGACATTCAGTTGGCATTGCGATGTGAGGGATAAAGCAATCTACATTGCCAGCTTATATTTGACTAATTATTGCCAAGATTATTTGGTGGCAGAACTAGCAAAAAAAAGAACATATTGTTTCTTGCAAAATTACAAATCATGAGCATGGAAATGCAAACAGACACCTTTTTTGTTATTACTTTTTACTTTTATTCAAGTAGTTGCTGAACAAGATTCCATGCAGTCTTCACAAACTAAACTTGCTGAAAAAGAACCTCCAGGAAAGAAAATGACCTACACTTGCAGCAAATGCAAAAAACTAGGACATCGACATAACAACTGCCCCACACTAATGGATGCCTAACGTGGAAAGAGCATGCACAAATGTCATCATAGCAAATTTTTGAGCACTAGGCAACTTGTTTGATATTGTTTTGAAAAGTTCACATTTAAATGCTAGGGACCCAAAATTTGCAGTTGCTAACTTTGATAGTCTTCTGTGCATTTTTGGCCAGGGCTAGGGGGGAGGGGGCACTTGACCCATGTTTGGGTGTAAGGTGCCATAGGGTTGTTGAAACCCTGACACACCTATTGTTTCTTCCTGTCATTAGGATGTGCTGAAAGTAATTCTGTCAACATGCAGTTGTGTTACAATGCTGATAGGGCAACTTAAAGGTACTGACAACAATATTGTTCTGAAAAATAATTTAATGCCTTCTAAATAAATACAGATAAACATCATACTCAACGAGTCTTGCAGCGGTACCCTGTCAGACCCTAATTAGGACAGCCGCGCTTGAAATTATATACCCCATGCAGGGTGGAGGGATTAAAAACCTTACTCTATCCAGTGGTGCATCATGATGTAGCCCATATAAGAGAGTAAACTCCCCCCCCCCCATGAAGGATTTATTGCAGCCTAAATTACTGAGTGTAGTAAGCTAAGCAAAAATAAGCCATTGTGGAGCAAGTCAATTCAAATTTATTTGTAAAATTCTATTAGAAATAATAGGACAATAATGATTACATCTCAGTTCCTTTCTTCTGCTGATGTATATCCAGTTATGCTGTGGGACTCACACCTAGATCTGTTATTGTGGTACACACATGCTGGCAATGGCCTACTATTCTTCCAGCCCAAGTAGCTGAAGATCCATTGAACCAGCCACCTGTAGGCTGTAGCTCTAAGAAATCTGTGATAAAGGTTTGAAGACATAATTTATTGTGAGAAAATCAAGTTGATTTGTCTTGCAGATAGAAAAAAAACATCCAGGACAGTCTTGAATACAGAGGCTGACAAAAAATTATTTACCAATTGTAAATCTTGCTGTTATGTAAACAAATTGTACTCACTCGTTTTCAGAGGTGCCATTTCTGCGGCGGTACGTTTTCCCATTTCTGCCCCAAAGTAATGGTGCCACATGTCTCCGGACTGTGTGATGCACAATATCCATTCAATACTTCCATCAAATGTAAGTTTTCCATGTGCACAGTCCACTTCCATGCAGCACCTAAACTCGCGAGCTGAGACCAGCATAGCATCACTGCACTGGGTAATGGAACACCTGATGAAAAATAAAACCATGGTGAGCTTATTTGGTTCTCAAGTAGAAAAAAATAAAAGCTAATTTTCTGAGTGCAATTGAAAGGCCGGATGCAAGAGCATCCCTAAGGTTGGTTGTAATTTCACCATCATGTTTCGTTTTAGCTTTAGCGTATACAAACGGGGTACATCAGAACAAGGTAAGACACACTTACCACGTACTGGCAGGGTCCGTTTTCTCAAATCTTCACAATAAAGTGGCAGAAGATAAGCCATCTTCATCCTCGTCATTCCTCTTCTTGTCCGTTGCTGTCACTCTCATCGGAGTTTGCCAAAGGCTCATCTTGGTAAGCGACTATCTCGCCCATGATGCCTGTACTGACTTCTTCAGAACTTGAGAATGATTCTACATCATCCTCAGATGATGTACAAGAGAACTCTTGATCGCTGTGATCGGTTTCCGACATATTTAGCTCGTAAACGACAAGTAGAATAACTCAAAACAACAGCTTGATCACTGGGAACAACATCTCCAACACAATCAGTGACGTGACAGCTCTATTATTTGTTCCCAGGCTCTTTTCCCATATTTTGCAGAAAAAATGTGAACTTTAATCGCATTTCAAAATGTGTTCGTGAAACGTTGGGACTTACTTTTTTTGGCTAAAATACTTCACATAACATATATTTTTGAATGTAAGAAAAACAAGGGGGGTAAAATTTCGAGTCATGTGTACTTTAACATTATTACGTAAATAAATATCGACAGTCTCTCTGTTGGATTTTAATGAAAGTGACATGTGAAGGTGAAATATCTTATCAGTATAAATCAGTATATCTTTTATGTTGATATTTATCAACATACAATTATTGTGTGAAATAACTACTAATAGTTGTGCGGCCGGTCCAAAACTTGTGCAAAAAGACTTGTGCAAAAAGACTTGTGCAGAAAGACTTGTGCAAAAACTCTTTTGTGCAAAATGTCTGGTTGCCTAATGATGATAATAATGACAATAATACACTTTTATTAATTAAAAGGTAAGAAAAAGAAAAATGTTAGTATGTACTAAAACAGTTGATAGCATTGAAGGTGCACCCTGATTGGCAACTCAACGTTTGATTTGAGTTTTAGCTATTCGCCTCCTGACAATTCTCATCGGATTTGCACTTTAAAATAATGTGATCATTGCAGGAATTGGTAAGTTAGAAGCATCATTTTGTGCTATGTTTTTTCACACTTTTGTATATACTAAAACAACTATTCACCTCAGTGTCTGTGGCCAGTGGTTGATATTTACCTTGCCACAAATTCAAGCAACAAGGTAAACATCCACCACTAGCCACCTCCACTGAGGTGTATATTTGTTTAAGTATCCCTCTCTGTTTGACTCCTTGGGCTGATATAGCACTGTCGCTATGACTTACTTGCTTGTATTCAATCCTCTTCTGGCTGTTGTAATGATCATCATAAGTGAGCAATGGTTGGTAAAATGAAACAGCATAAGGAGGGGAGAAAGTTGCATTGGATGGTTTGAACTCTGGAACTAGAGGGGAAAGTGTAGAGCCAATAACCAGACTTCCAGAAGGTACTGACCCAGTGTTTGCTATCCTGGGCACAAATGCAGGAACAGTAGCAGAAAGTTTGGAACTTGAAACAAGTTTCTGCAAAACAAACAGGCACATTTAATTCTCAGAGTACAATCAAAATTGGAACATAATCTATGTATAATATGTATAATCAGCTGTCAAAGTTACTATTCAAGATAACAATAATCAAAACAGTAAAAATATTCTTAATCACGAGTGGTTACTACTTGTCTGATTTGACCACTAATAGGACGGTGTACACATCCTGCTTGCAACCAGACACTGCATGTCACCAGCACGCACTGTATTAACAAATTTTGCTGAGTTCTTTTTTTTCTAATGAAAATATATAACCAAAGGTTATTTTGTTTCTCAAACTTTGTTGCAGTTTTAGTAATTGGTGACAGGACTTAGTGATATCATATTCCATCTGTTATCATATTTGTAATTAACTAATCAGAATCATGTTTTCCCATCATCCTATTCTGTTATTCACTCAAATGATTACAGAACAAATTGGACTCCACTCCTCCTTTTACCATTACTAATTCAATATTATTATAATTGCTCACTTATGCTGGAGACTGGCAGATTCTGTATGTTGAGAATTTGGAAAAAAATACCTCATTACAAGCTATTTAGCAGAAAGATTCAAAGCAAACAAAAGCAAAGCCTGAGGCTCGTAGGAATGATCCAAATCAAGTATAAAAGTCTTCAAGAGCTTTAAAGGTAATAATTAATAATTCAGTGTTGAACATGTTTCTCTATGGAGATACCCTACCATGAGGTTGTCACGATTACTAAATTTTTAACGACATAACTTTTCTGCCTCACCACCATCATAATATATTCTTTAAAAGCAATCCTATGTGGATCAATGACGGAACCATAACTCCCCTGGACTATATTACCCGAGCTATTCTCAACGGAATATGAAGTTTGCACAAAAGCAATAATCGATCGCGAAGGTTGATCATCAAATGAAAACAAACTACGACATACGAAAACAAATGATACAAATTTAGTATTATTTTTACGTTAGTAATACTCGAAGAAAACCAATAAATAACCTCTGACTCCTGTTTTCCATCAGACATTTGAAAGGGACAAGGCTTCACTCTCAGATGAGCTGAACCTGTGCGTTCGATTCCTGCTCAAGTCTCGAGTGTGGAGGAAATGTTCCATATTTGGTCAACACTCCCAAATAAAGCTTGTAGAACCAGTCTCCCTTGCGTCTTCTGCTTTTCTCCTGCCAAGAAAAAGCCAGTCGCACCAATATTAATTTCTGTTTTTTCTTTTCATGTTTTTCGATTTTGTCCACTTTTAATTACTGTTTATTTGTAAGTCCTTTGGCAATAAAATTGTGGCGTAGTATTCTGGTATAATCTCTCCAATACTGTTACTTGAGGCATGAGTTCGACGAACGGAGATAGATATGAAACTTGCAATTAGGCGTTCTTTTTCTGGGGAGCGCGAGATTGTAATGGTCGCGCTTCCAGAATAAAAAGAACCCCAAATCACAGGTTAGCCGATCGGTAACTGGTTCTATGAGCTTTAAACGGGATAAATTAAAATTCCGGAATTGAATTACGGAACTGAAGGTTTTAGCGAAAAAAAAAGGTGTTGCTAAACGGTCCTAAGAAATAGCAGAAAGGTGTTGCTTTTAATTACGTCAGTCATGGAAAGTTTAACTTTTGTCGATAGACTTTTGAATCTGTACTTACATGCAAGAGAGAAGAAAGCCTTTTTTCATGACCTTAGAAACCTCTGACCCTCTCCCATATACCGTTAGCTGATCTGTGAGGAAATGGTATCATGGCCACGCAGATACTTGAAAACCGGCCGCAATTTTCACCAAAACCGAAAAATCATCGAGAATATAATGAACAGGCCGAAGTCCTAATGGGGGCCTGGCTCGAGCCAGGAACCAAGAACATACCAAGCAAATAGCTGAACAACCGTTAGAGCCAACAACACTCAGTTTTTAGTCTCAAAACCGTTAACATGAAGGGGAAATCGAAATATAAACTGAAACGTAAAACAGAAAAAACGAAGATCCGGAGAAAAAACCGAAAAAGATCCCGGAAAACCGAGGTAGCTTCGTCGTGTTTGGACTAATCGAGGCAAGGTACCTTCCAAATATCGCAAAAAATACATTCGGCAAAAATTCAACTTGGCATCACTTTTGAAAAAACTTGAACATCTGTACAATGATATGAAAAGTTTAAATTTTATTTCTCTACTCAAAATATTGCTATCTTTCACGATCAAGGCGATAGGCCCCAAAACCCGCACATTACGTTTGGTAAGTACGTAAGGCGTAGTAAGGGAACCCAATGTTGTTTTTCCGGTATACGTAAAACGTGGTTTTCCATCCACAGTTTCACCTTCCGCCCTATCAACAGATGTTTTTGAATTTCTTCTCTTAGAAAACACGCCGTTCTCTAAAAGTTATTGGTGTTCTGTTTTGTAGCGCAAGTTTTTAGAACAACTAATGTTTTACTTGGCAACAAGCTCCGAAAAGGCTGAACTTTAGTCTCAAAACCACTTAAAGAGCCGGAGAAATCGGAATGAAAACGGAATTACAATACATAACAAGAAAAACCGAAAGCTGGGGGCAAAAAGCGAAGAATACTAAGGAAAACCGGTGTCGCTTCATCTCTTCGGAAGTTTCGCACCGAAAAAAAAGCGAAAAGATAAAAACGGAGAAAGCAAGAATTATTTAAAAAAAAGAAAAACAAACAACAGAGGAAAAGAGAAGAAACAGCTTAATAAAATCTTTACGGGGGCCAATTTACATCATCAACTTGATAAAACCAAATTATTATTGTTTACCACCCTCCCCTCCAACCCGCCGATACAGCAACCACAGTTTCTTCAGAACCTTACCCCCTTTATGCAAAAGAAAAGAATTCTCGATTGCGGGATCACGTCTATTAGTAAGAGTGAAAAAGACTGACGTAAACGAAAATTTTTTTAATTCTGGTGCATGCAGTCACGAGCCCTACAGCAAGGTCTAATCACATCAAATCTCACACGACAAGACGGGTTCGTCGTGTCCTAAAAGCCGCTCGCACTAGAAAAAGGCATTTAAAACCCCGAATTATAACAGGAACAACTTGAATAGTGATATATTTGGGTGCGAGGATTTGGAAATCGCAAGTCAATGGGTAAATTGACGAGGAAGCCGAAATATGTTAATTAATTTAATAGTAAGTTCTCGGGGAAGACAGCTGTCCATCCTACGTTACTTTACTGTCTTTCTGCAAAAATTGCCATTATTTTAACAATTTGAAAGATTATGAAGTATTAATTATTTTCACATTCCACAGAGAAAAGGAAATCACCTTGCTGTATCAATTTTTACAAAACAGTGGGAATATCATCAATAGGCTTATCTATGTTTGCTTTCGAGACAAAGGTGGCATAATCCACATTATGAAAAATTAAATTACATTTGGCAAGAGATCAAAGTGGCGTTACTTTGGAAAAACCTCTAACCACGGTCTAATGACATAACAAGGTTAGTTCATATCTCTAATCAAAATGTTGCTATCTTTCACGATCGCTCGAACTAGTATCAGAACTGTAGGCCACAAAATCCACCCATTAGGTTTTCCAACTGTTTGGTTAAATTAGGGAAAACTAATATTGTTCTTCCGTACGTCACGTGGTTTTCCAATCACCTTTCACCAGCCGCCCAAATTAACAAACGTTTTAAAATTTCACGCCGTTCTTTGGTTATTAGTGTTCTGTACTTCAGCGTGAGTTTTCAAAGCGAATAATATGCCACCTGGCTCTTTCATATGGAAAGTATTCAAATCCGAAAAAAAAAAAACGGTACTAAACTGTTTAATATTGTTTACCGGCAAATAAGGCTCGCTCGAAACTGTATTGCGGAAAACTGTGGAGACCAGATGTTCAACAATCATTTAATTTTTACAGAAGAAGCAACTTTTACGTTGTGAACAAGAAGTATTTAACAGTACATGCCACCTTTACCGTACAAAGAATTCAGCGGGGCGGAGTGATTATCTTTGGGCTTGTTGAGCAGGGAAATAAAAATCAATTTAAATTTGTGCCATGCGCGTAAACTCCTTTTCTAGAGTTCTTTTGTGAGTGCCTTGAAAACACAATGACACAAATGATAACTAGCGTATAATCTACCCATTATTTATCGTCACCTTGTCTAAGAACGACAACAACGTTCGCATGAAGTTTCTTCAAACACCATGTAAAGTGGCATGTCTGTTATACACGACACCCTCTCTATCGTATTGGCTTTAGAGCCCGCTAATATGGCCTTTCCACAGCAGGAAATTGGAAAACTTTGTTTAATATTGCATTGTCAAATAAGCAAAGCCAATTTAAAATGTAGATTTAGGTAATACTTACCGCTGAAAGCCAGTCGGCGTGAAAGATAAGTGGTGTAATTTACAATTTTCGAATAAGAAGATAAAGGGGTTTTTGATTTTTAATAGCGGGATCTTTTTAGTCCGATATTGCTCCAGCTACACCTTCCAAACAAAACTTGAACTGAAAAAGGTTTCCTTTTGACTTTTAAAAATATAAAAGTATTTTGAAGTCGCTTTCTAAGAAAGAAGATTGGCAAATACTTTAAAAAGCCACAAAAAGGGAAGGAAGAAAAAGCGCCACAAACATTTGAAGTTTTGGAAAACTTTAATCTATATTCAAAAAGAAAACCTTTCAATTCCACGTCAGATTATTTGCTCAGATGATAGTGTTGGTGTCGTCATGAATATTCACATTTCCACGTGCTTTCGTGTTTAACTTGCACGCTTTGAGCTAGACAGGGCTATTATTGTCTTTTTCCTTTTATCCCGAGGTGACCACGTTGGATGTGCTGGTGGTAACGAAAGCGGAAAGGATCGAACCTTCTTTGCTTCATTTAATTAGTTTCTGAACCGTCTGTGGGGAAATGACGATGGCGATGAAGGTGTCTCAGCGAAAGACTCTCACTGGTTTGTTTTGCTTCAGCTTTTCGATAATTCTTGCATCAGCGAATCTTGCCGCTAGTGTGGACCTGTGCGGTGTTGGTAAAATTGAAGGTAAAAATATTACCCTGTCGTTGAACTTCTCCCAAGAGGATGTGATGAAAAATGGCGGAGAATGTAGCCGTGTTGTAATAATGGAATCAGCGCGGGTGAAACTTGTGGTCGAGGAATTGAACCTCGCTAATGGAGCAGTCTTCGAGATATACGACGGCCCTCGGCCAGATGAAGGCCAACTTCTCAGTCCAAAAGCGGACGTTGGATTATCAAGGACCTACACTAGTACGAGAAACGCTTTGTTTATTGTGTTCAGAGATGGCCAAGGAAAGGAAGGGCCTTCGAGTTTTCGCGGGAAAATAGCGTCTGAACCTTATCAGCACGCGTGCAGCTGTCGGTCTGTGGATAATGGACAACTGGAGTGTTCTGAGAGTGATCACGAAAGAAGTTGTAAAATAAATTGTCAAGCGTCACATATGGACTTGTCAATAAATAAAGATGTGAAGTGTGATCTCGTAAAAGGAGAATGGGATATTGATATTCACAACATGCACCTAGCGTGTCAGAAGGTGGAAAGCCCTTTGCAAATCAAAGCACTGATGCATTTCAAATACGATAATGCAACTTGTAAAGATGTTGACCTAGACAAAATAAAAAGTACCTTCAAAGTGTTCATTGAACAAAACAGTGACATAAAAGCCAAGGGTGTGTGTTTTGCTGCAGGTGGCGATGAGAATATGGATTGCAAGGGAAAGAAGCTTCTAGTGAACTGCAGCGGTGACAAGCCAGCCAGAGTAATAGTAATAATTACAGACCGTGTAACAGAACCTTCAACTTTAAAGGAAGCCAACGTGAAACTTCAAGAGCTGATCATAGCCTATAAGAACTTGAAGTTTGTTAATGTTTCAAGCTTCCCAGATTTAGTCATGAAAAATGGAAATGAGTCATTCACTCCAGACATTACATCAGCTTCTCCTGAGATAACACCTCTTTGTGATGATCCACATGACTATATTAAGGTCCCTGGCAATAACACATCTTTTGTCTGTTCCACCTGCCCACTGCAACACTCCTATAACACTTCTACCCACATGTGTGACAAGTGTCCTTCTGGGAGTAGAGCATCTTCCCATGCAACCTCTTGCACAAAGAGCAATGGCACCATAAAGGCAACCCCTATCAAGAGTCCATGCAGTAGTGCATGTATGAATGGTATGCATGTAGATCCTACCTCTAAGCTGTGTGAATGGTGTCCCCAGAATACTTACCAGAACTCTTCAACTATTCTAAACCCCAAGTGTGTGCCTTGTCCTGATCAAAAGAAGACTAGCTTTCCAGGGGCACAGAGTGCAAGTGAATGTCGCAACCCTTGTGCATCTGGTTCTTTCTACAATGCATCAAGTGGTGTTTGCCAGGGTTGCCCTATTGGTTCTTACATTGATGTGGATATGCATGCATTCACCAAGTGCAAGACATGTAGTGTGGGTAAGACTACCCGAACAACTGGAAGCAAAGAGAGAGGTGACTGTTACACTAGGTGCACACCAGGTCAATTTTACAATTCAGAATCAAAGGTGTGTACTCCTTGTGGAAAAGGTAAATATCAAGACAAGATGGACAAAGACACTTGCATAGATTGCCCTGCTAACAAAACAACTCTGAATCCAGGATCAAAAACTTCAGCAGAATGTGTGATTTTGTGTGGAGCAGGACAACTTCTTACAGAATCTAATGAAACATGTGATGATTGTCCAATAAATACATATCAGGACTTGGATCAGCATCAAACCAAGACATGCAAGTCCTGTGGAGCAAGCAAAATCACCAATGCAACAGGGCAATCCAGTATTTCTCAGTGCTTGGAGAAGTGTAGCAAGGGCTGGTTCCTTAACAAGTCTGCCAACATGTGTGAAAAGTGTCCTGCAGGACAGTATCAAGATCAGCAGGGCCAAGAGAAATGCAAACAATGTCCTACAGGGGAGCATCAAGATCAGCCAGGCCAAGAGCAATGCAAACAATGTCCTACAGGGGAGTATCAAGATCAGCAGGGCCAAGAGCAATGCAAACAATGTCCTACAGGGGAGTATCAAGATCAGCAGGGCCAAGAGCAATGCAAACAATGTCCTACAGGGGAGCATCAAGATCAGCAGGGCCAAGAGCAATGCAAACAATGTTCTACAGGGGAGCATCAAGATCAGCAGGGCCAAGAGCAATGCAAACAATGTCCTACAGGGGAGCATCAAGATCAGCAGGGCCAAGAGCAATGCAAACAATGTCCTACAGGGGAGTATCAAGATCAGCAGGGCCAAGAGCAATGCAGACAATGTCCTACAGGGGAGCATCAAGATCAGCAGGGCCAAGAGCAATGCAAACAATGTCCTGCAGGACAGTATCAAGATCAAGAGGGCCAAGAGCAATGCAAACAATGTCTTGCAAGACAGTATCAAGATCAGCAGGGCCAAGAGCAATGCAAACAATGTCCTGCAGGAGAGCATCAAGATCAGCCAGGCCAAGAGCAATGCAAACAATGTCCTACAGGGGAGCATCAAGATCAGCCAGGCCAAGAGCAGTGCAAAAAGTGTGCCACAGGGGAGTACCAAGATCAGAAAGGCCAGGAGCAGTGTAAAAAGTGTCAAACTGGGGAGTATCAAGATCAACCAGGCCAAGAGCAGTGTAAAAAGTGTTCTGATGGCAAAACCACTGAAAACCAGGGAACTGATGATTCCAAACTATGCATAGCCATTAATGTAGAGGACAAATATCAGATGTCTCTTACATTTCTTTCTCTTTCTTGGAGTGAAGAACTTAAAGACAAAGGCAGTGTGAAATACAAAGAGGTAAAGACAATCATTGAGGCAGCAATCAGATTTGAATTCCGTAAAGATCAATCATTTAAACATGTTAAGGTGACTAACTTAAAGAAAGGCAGTGTCATTGCAGAGTTTGATGTGAGCTTCAGTGGCAAAGCTGATTACGATTCTGTTAAAGCTCTTCAAGAAACTGTAGATAAAGGTAGTGTGGGGAACTTGACTGTTTCTCCACAATCACTGAAAATTCTTTTTCAACCATGCCATCAACCTCTAGGCATGGAAAATGGTCAAATCAAGGATGACCAAATCACAGCGTTGACATTCTTAGAAAATCATGAGCCCTCTGAGGCCAGACTAAATGCTAAAGGAGGGCGTGGCTGGCATGCGAAGTATACCAAGAGGACAGAGTACTTGCAGATTGACTTCAAGACGGAGGTCAACATTACAGGCGTGGCCACACAAGGAGTATCCTCCGCTTAAGATGCTTATGTCACAGAATATAAGCTTAGCATGAGCAAAGACGGAATCACCTGGCATGAATATACTGAAAATAACAAATCAAAGGTATAGTGGTTTACACTAACATGATACATTTATGTTCAAATTCTTCTTTGGCTTAAAAATCTCCACACCAGTTTAAATTAAATATTTATTCCCTCATCTCAACTTCAGTATACCACACTCTCAAACAGAGGAAAACTTGTTGTGAAACTTTTACACCAAACAAAAGTTTGAAGCACAACAAATACAAGCCCACAGTCATACCTTTGATGGAAGATGAAACTAAGATTAATTTAGTTTTAAAACTTCTTTTTTTCCAAAAACCTAATTTTTAAATTGGCCGCTGCCACTGTTTAATCCATTGAAAAGTGACAGTGCATCAGTTTCTTTATTATCAACACTAACCAACGTAAAGGCCTGATCATTGGCCAGCATTTACCCCTCCCTGACATGTCATGCACCCTAATACTTTTTTTATACCCTAATAATAGCATATACTTTTAAGGCAATTTGCCACATTGGAAGTGCTACATCTACAATTATAGAACACTTGTTCCAGATGTTCAATAGCATGCATATTGATATTCAAAGGATGAATTTTACTTACGAGTTGTTAAAGCTGCCATAGCATCATCAATGTTGTGTACACAAGTTAGGATTACACCAGTCTCGTTACTAATGACAATGTGTAATATTTTTATGATCCATATAATCTGATCTACACTCTGTTGAGTGTAGATCAGACCTTTACAAGACTACACTCTGTTGAGTGTATATAGTCTTGAAAAGGACTTAAGTTGAAGATAGGGACTAACAACCTATTTGCTCAACGTCATCACAGTCAATTGAGGATTTTTTTTTTTTCAGTTTCATTTTAGTTCAACATCATGATCAGGTCATACAATCATTTAGTGCTCCTGGATGCAAACCACTTACTGAATAATATTTTTTTTATGATAGGTTTTCACTGGAAATAATGATGCAGAAACTGTTGAGAGAAACAACCTTGTAGCACCAGTGCCATCTCAGTTCATCCGATTTCTGCCTCAAAATTGGAACAAGCGCATCTATATGCGGGTGGAGGTCTACGGCTGCATGCCCATCAACCTGCCTGCTCCGTCACCTACAACTGGTGCCAACATAGCCGCAATAACAGCAAAAGATGAAAAGTGGCAATGGGGTGCATATCTTGGCATCGTGTTTGCAATCCTGCTTGTCATTGGAGTTGTGGTTACTGTCATCTGCTGGATGAAAAAGAGCCAAGAAAAGAGAAAGGAAGTTGGAACAGATGAAGCTCTGATGGGAGTGAGGAAGCATAACGATGGGGAATACAGAGTCATTGAGAAAATTGCTGCAGAGCCTGACGATGATGATGATAATGTAGTTTGATTAAAGAATCAAAGACATTAAGAGTTGATAAAAGAGGCAATATAACTTGCACTTCTTCAAAGACAAAAACAGCTAATTAGTCATTTTAGAGTTGTGTCTGACAAACTCAATACAAGATATCTATCTTTTTCAAAACTTTTGATTGTTTCTTAGATATTAAAGTACTCTGTAGAACAGTTACTTGACTTGACAGGGTGTTAGTGATTTTGCTAAAAAGAGTACCCAGGCACAAGGGACAAAGTCTTGTCTGCTCACCAAGCTCTTGCTTTATATGCTCGTGTGTAGCAATTATATTACGTGTATTAAGTTATGACCTTAATTTTAATCATTAACACCTGATAACTAGAAATTATGCAGAAAACCTCTTGTGGTCAACTATACCCTTATTCCAGTGGGGGAAAAAAACAAGTCATTGTTTTGTTGCCATGTTAATTGGGCCTCCTTCAGCCTTATTTTAAGCTGAAGATTATTTCAAATGCAATACATAGAATTATAAAAAAAAAGGGAAAAAAATCACAATTTTGGAGCAAGATTTATGATGGCTGTCAACAACCACTTGAGGAGAAGAGAGGAAAGAAATACAACTGTATAACAATGATCAAATCCCTGAAAATTTAATATTGTTTTAAGGTGTTTCATGTGGTTTTCATTATAGAAACTTGTTCTGACAGGGCTTGACACTAACTTTTCAACTTACTAGCCAAGTGACTAGTTACATCTCAGATGTTACGACAATTTCAGTTTGTTTACTAGCCAAAATGGCTAGTGGAAATAAAAAACCACTAGCCAAAACTGAATTTCTACTAGTCTGTGGCTTGTGGGCTACCATTAAGTGTCAAGCCCTGTCTGATTTAAGTGAATTCACATTTTCTTTTTTCCACTTCACGTCACAAAAAATACCTGTGATTTGACAAGGGCCAATAAAGTCTTGTGAAAATGACAAAAAATGAATAACAAAGTAGCATTGTGGTTGCCCACCCAGATCTTAATGTTTGTATGTGCTATATAAATCATACAATTTGCAAAGGAAGTTTTGGTTCATGTGCCTCTTCAAATTTGTCGACTGCAGTTCCCTTTAATAAATGCTATTTGATAGTTGGTAAAGAGACTTGTTCATGGAAGACAACTGAAGTACAGTATGTAATCAGATTAAGACAGACCTCTTCTTTATTTTGCAATTGGATGATTCGCTCTCGATTTCTATTGCGAGAAAAATGACGAAGGGAAAGCCCCGATCACCGATTACACATTGAAATCGAGAGAGAATAACCAAGCTATTTTAGTATATGAATCTACAAGTCGTAACAACAAATCAGGCATTCTCTCATCCCAAAAATTTGATATCTTCAACCAGGTCTGTCAAAGTATCATATGTCAAGTTATGGCAACCACTTTACTTAGATAACCATAGTTAGATAACTAAAGTTGAAGTTGACGTTTCTGTGATAGAAAATAAACTTTTCTCGCAAATTTCACTCAATAAATCATGAATCAAGGTAACTTTGAGTGTAGGTAATTAACATTATATTAACTGCATTACCTCAGAAAAAATGATGAACACTGCATGTAATTTCAACGGATGAATATAATTTTAATAATTTATTAGAATGATAATGATTTTTTTCTTGATTCTTAAAACTCGAAATTAAAACGTACGGATACCTGGCTGGCCTAAAGATAAATGAACTAGTCGTTCCATTCCTCACATCGCCCCCTTGTTTCTCATATTCATTCAAGTTGGGTGACATGTGTGAATTTCGCTTAAATTGCGTGACAGGAGTAATATCTCAAAAACTGATGGTTCTACAAATTATTTGAATTAACGCTTGGTAAAAATAGTTTTTGTATGTGTGGAGCAAAAGTGTTTTTGCCAGAAGAAAACGACTACTTGGTCGGAATAATCATCGACGAGTCGCTTGTTGACTCCGGGCGAAAAATTGCGAAAAATTCTGATGTCTCATGACGGTTCGTTTCGTTGATGCCTTGCGCGCCACGTGGTAAGTAAAAGTGTCACATGTCCAACATTTGGCAATCTTTCCGAGGCCCATTATGGCGACTGGTAAGTGTACGTGTCGGTCTGCACGTTTTGCAGTTTTCTGTATTTGTAATAATCATTTTCCTTCTCCAGTGAAAAGCCAGTACGCTGCTCAAATCAAGACCCTTCCGCTGAAATGTGGCGACTATCAATACTTCGATGTCGCCAGTTTGAACGAAGAAAGATATGGTGAGGAAAATTTAAATTAGTATCGACTACTCGTAGTGCTGAAAAAATTTCAAGTTAAGTTCCAGAAATGACTTTGTGTACTTAAATTTAGGAAATGATACAAATTATTCAAGGATCAGTGATATGTGTGACATTTGGTTAGTAGTCCCGGCTAAAATACTCCAAAAGATTCGCGAACGTTATCTCAAATCTTAAAGATAACTTAAGGAATAGTTTTGAATGAGTGTGAACTATGACCCTCGATCAGGCTTCATGAATATTCACCTGACCATCCTCTGACTACCATTATTTATGTTGATTCAACAATTTTTTTTTTCTCAAATTACTAGTTAGGTAGGTTGACGATTATTTCGATCGGAATTTGGTTGTATTTTATTTGGCTTACTCTATGCGGAAAGTACCAATTCAAGATTCGTGTTGCATGATCATACGATATTGGGGTCTAAATACCCATGATTGTATATATATATATATATAGAACCAGTACTGACAAGTCTGGGTCAAAGTATATCTGACTTCCTTTCCCTTGTTTTCAATTAAACTACATTTCTTTGTACCCCTAAGTTTAATGAGTCATATTTACTAATTAGCAAATAAATTTCATATTGACGTGTGTCTGTTCAGCAATAGGTCACAAATGACGTCAAAATGTGGTAAGATCAAGAGTGGCACTTGAGGCCTACCCAAGTGTGTCACTTATATTCTTACCACAATTTGACATCTTCTGCGATCCATGACTTAACACACTCACACCAACATTGGAATTGGTCTGTTTTATAGACTAAAGAAGCGAATTATCTTGTTAACAGTAATGTTTTCGATGTGTCTGTTCTCTAACATATCAGGAACAACTAGCAATCAAAATGCACTATAATTCAGCTTATAACAAACTTGCCAACTGGCCACACTTAACCCTAAACTCCCATGAGTGACCCAGACAGACTTTTTCCTCATAATAACAATACAATGTCAAACACACAAGTGATGAGAATAAAGTAAAATATCAATTAAGGGATTATTAGTTGATCTAAAACCAAATTCTTCAAATTTGCATCGTAAGAATTGTACGATAGATAGCAAGGAGAATTACTGAGAAGATCTTCAGAGTGAAAGGGTTTTCATTTTTTTTTTCTTTTTTCCATACTTCTGTCACCACTTTTATGTGTGATTTTTAGCTAACAGAGAAATCCATAGTGTAGAGAAAATTGAAAAGTGGAAGCAACAAGTTGACATTTTTTGCTATTTTTTATTTTTTCATTCATTTGATCTACCATCCTGTAGCTCGCCTACCATATTCCATAAGGGTCCTATTGGAATCTGCTGTACGTAACTGCGATGGCTTCCAAGTTAAGTCTAAGGATGTAGAAAACATATTGGACTGGGAGAATAACCAGAAACAAAGTGTTGAAATCCCATTTATGCCTGCAAGAGTCATCCTGCAAGACTTCACGTAAGTCATGGGATTTTCCTCTTAGGAGTCGTGTCTTTTCTTGCAAAATTTTTCTTTTCTTGACCTTAAGCATGCAAGTATTTGCATTCTTTTCATTTATTATAACTAAAGCAGCTAGGTAAACTTAAACAGTTTTGAACTTTTCCTAAGGACACTTACTTTTGAAGAGATTGTTTGCTTTACTGCAGATTGTTCATCAGGCATCGCAGATCTGTGAATTTGTTGGCTGTTACTCTGAATTTTTAGGCTAAATTGTAAATGACCTTTTAATTGTTTTTAACTTGGACTGTTAACAATGTATCTGGAAGATTCTCTCGCTACTTTGCAATATTCCCTTGTTCTGTACATTTCTCAACAAGAATGTTGCCCTACGTTAAAATTTGCTTATCGCTTCAAATAAGTGCCTTCTCCCCCTGCCCAGAAGGTCAGCAATCCTTTCTAACTGCTTTCCTGCCAATACCCTCTCCTTTCTCCACTTATAAAGATATCACTTGTAATGTGCTGTTTGTGTTTTAGGGGGGTTCCTGCTGTGGTTGATTTTGCTGCTATGCGAGATGCCATCAAAAGACTTGGAGGAGACCCAGCCAAAATCAATCCACTTTGTCCTGTTGATCTTGTGATTGACCACTCTGTTCAAGTTGATGTGTCAAGAAGGTGTGGTATTTGCATCTTTTATAATTTAAAAAAATCTGGACTCCAACAAGTTGTGTTTTTTGATTCATCAACTTTTGAGCTAGACTATGTGCCTGACTTTTGTTGAATAACAAGCAAAAATGTAGGAATGCCTTAAGAAAAGCAATTTAAACCAGTAGCTTTTTCAAAAACTCTAAATTGAAAAAAAAAAATGTAGTTATTTTGTAGTTAGTTTTCAATCTGAGATTAAAAAAATTCTTCCCAAATTTACCCTTATTTACCTGGTAGTTTTGATTAAAGTGTGAGAAACTTTCTTGGGAGGAAGTTCTTCCCTTTGATATTTAAACTGATCTGCAAGAAATCGGTAACTTTTTTTTATTTGAACTGTTTGAGAGTATAAAACAAAGAAAAGCAATTAAATCGTACTGGAGAGTTTCCGTCTGGTGAGCGAATCTCACTTTAATAACAATAGAAATAACAATGATGTTGTGTCTGGAGAATGTTGAGTCATCTTTTCCCATAATTGAAAATAAAACTATCTTTTTTCTTTTTTTCTACTTGCATAATTATGTCTGTGCTTAGACTTAAATGACTGAAAACTGGATTACAGTTTTGTGAACCCTTGTTAAGGAGCTGGATATCCTTTACCCATAACACTAGAGGCTTAACTGAAGTCTTAAAACCTAATTTGAAGTTTCTGCAACAAATCAGAATCTCTGATGTTGTTCTTTCAGTCAGAGTCGTTCGTTTGATCCAGGGGGAAACTGGCCTAAGAAGGACAATCCATGTCCATTTCATATGATGCCCATTGACTGGTGCGAGGCCACTATTTTTTTTTTTTTTTCACTCTAAACAAATTCAGTAACATTTGAGTGTTGTTAGTGGGTTTTTATGTTTCTGTTGCATCTGAATTTAATCTCAATTGCTCGTAAATTTTACTTCCTATTGTATTGTAAGTTTATTCTTAATTTCATTTGTCTTCTAGCACCCATTTTTTTTATAATGAGGCTAAGGAGACAATGGAAATTAAGGGTCAACCCAGAGAGTAATTTTTTTTTACCTGCAATTAAAATTTAAGATGGTCATACTCACTGTTTTGGAAGAATGGCTGTTAGTGCTCTTTGGACTTAGGACTCTGTTGACTTTGTTAAGTCAGACAGGTGAAAACTATTATAATAATTCT